ATCTTTTTTCTCCCTACATTCTGTATTCAAAATTCATATTTTTTGCCAAGAAAACCCAAAGGTTTTTAATGAAGAAAACTAGAATGGAAATTTATGTGGTTAAACAAAATATTTCAGAGCTGAGAACGTGATGCCAAATCACTTCATATATTTCAGAATAGTTATTGCAATTGGTAATCTATTTTCTATTTTTCTGTATTTCCGCTTTGTGACACTGTTTTTTGAATAAATCTTTATTGTATCCATTTTAAAATTGTTCTATGTAATATGGAAATATTTTTTCTTAATTTATATAAACCCTTAAAACACTCTTTCCTAACAAATGGATAGATTTTGACCTAATGTTTTCACTATCAACTCTGCTTGGAATTTACCTGAATTCCCAGAATTCTTGCTGGTCAATCGAAAACTCCTGGTGTCTTCTAGACCAAATGGTTCCTCTGTTATTTATTATCCAGACATCATAGCCAGCATCTGCCAGAAAAAATCCCAGGCTGTTGCTAGGAAGATTTGCAATCCAACATCTCCCTTCGGCCATAAAACCATGTACCAATAAAACGATTGGTCTAGGCCCTGCAAAAGAAACCAAGAAGACATCATTTATTGTATTATCTGTAAGTACAATCCCATGCTCCTCCAGAAACAGTATATTATTTGAGTAAATGCACTCTGCCTTGTTTAGTCACCTTTCTAGCCTCACACTTACATTAGGTTTGTGCAGAGACCTGGATTTAAAGGGCAAAATATAACCTGGACACATGTGGCATTTGTCAAGGGCACTCTATACCAAATGCTAATCTCCCCAGGATCTGCAAGGGCAGCCACAGGAACCCAGGAACAGATGCAGCTGCTTTAAGGTATTCTGAGCAGGTGCCAAGTACATGGCCACACACACTGCAAACCACGGTTTGCCCTTCATATCGAGATGTCTGCAGAACCTTCCTTGTGCTACTAAACAACCTCTGATACTTCTTTAACAATATTTGTCAACTACCCCAACTGAAAGAACTCTGGTCAATGAACAGCAATAAAATTGCATAACAATCCAGCAGATTAAAAATAAAGTAACATAAGAGGATTGATAGAACTATAATGTACTTGTGTAATTGCCTAAAATCACTCTAGGAGCCAAAATCACTCGGGTAGCCTGTGCAACAACTTTATCATCAGTGTAATCTTACTGTAGCAGGTCGCGCTAACTAGCAGTCTGGCTACCCCATTCTGCACCAATTTCAGCTTCCAACTGTGTTCAGAGG